ATTTAGTTGACAACACAGAAAAGAGAAATTAATCTGGGGTTTCACACTGTGGGCACTTTCTGAAGATTTTCAGTACAAGAAAATACAATCAGGGGAGCCTAATTTCAAACTAGTATCAGATCCACAGGGTGCAGCGAGCACAAAGAATTAATTCACTTGAATTTGGTCAAATAAATTGACAGGAATAAGTTTCTCAGCCACTGCTTTCTTGTTACTGTGTTGTTTGTTAATTGATGTTTAACTAGAAGGAAGGCAGTGAAAACAGGGAGGCAGAGACATGTTCATATTGTCCTTTGGCAGATGTTTCCACTCATTTGGCTGAAAATACTCTAGGGGGTAAGAAGATATTCATGACATGAGAAGATGAGGTGTACACTCAAGTTCCTTTGTTGCTGCAATCCTACAGACCCAGGGACCTGGCACTGCAGCTTCTCTTGTTGTGGTGACATGTCATTAGTGCAGGGTGGTTAAAATCACTGCTTTAAACACCTTTTTAATCATTTGTCGTGTTAGAGTAAAAACGTCAATTTATGTACTGGCATTGTCTGATAAAACAACACAAAGCTTTACATTACTGTGACGTGGAAGGAAAAGGATCAAATATATATAGAAGTGTGGGGTTCTACTTTTATTCAACTCTGTTTACTCTGAAATCCATAAGTTAAATTCAGTACAACAAACTGGCATTAGAAGGTAACCAAGTCATGGCTGTCCGCCTAAATTAACAGAACAGGCAAGAAATGCTTTAATCTGTAAATCTTAAAGATATATGTAGCTGTGCTCCCCATAAAATTTTTTCCTGGGCCTGTCCTAGCCATCCTTACAAAAATGTTCTGGCCCAGAGATCTTGAGTTTATGGCACATTGGCATAAAGAAACCCATCATCAGAAGAAGTCATCTGCAGTTTGCCACAATGGGATTCATTCAAATGATGTGGAAGTCGGTTTTCTGCTCATATGTCTCTAAGTTAAACTCTTTACAGTGAAAATATTGTTTGTGAAGCTAAAAATCCTCTGTAACCATACTACCCTTTTGCAAAACATGATGCTGGCAGGATGATGTTGTGGAGTTTGTTGGATAACAAACTTAAACTAATGGTACCGTTCACTGCATTTCTACGTGTCAGAACGGCTCAGTCAAAGTTCAGACCTCAATCCGTTTGAGAATTTGCGGTATTGCTTGAAAATTTATATGCACAGATGCTGTTTCTGAGCTTCAGTTGTTATGTAATGAAGAATGGGGAAACATTTTCAGCTTTTGGATGCATGAAGCTGGTGGAGACGTACCCAGACTTGCAGCACTGAATGTAAGGTGCTTCTATAGCATGTCACAAAGTTCAAAGGCATTAAATTCCTACAGTTATAATGACAATAATGCTTATGAAGTTATGTACAGATCCATTATTTTACATTTCCATGCTTCCCTACTAAAATGTCCTTTGAATGGGTCCTGGACGCATCTGTAGATGCAGTAAAAAGGTTTCATATGCCTTTTGCTTAAGGCTTTTACTGTCCTTCAATGAAGTTGTGATGTTTGTAATAGGACTGTGAATAAGTTGTATAATGTTTCCCTATAGCAGACATTTCCTTGCAAAATGGGTCAGATTTTATCCAGACACAATGAGAATCCTGGTGGATGTGAACAGCATACTGAGAAGGAGAGTTTTGCGCTGTGGGAACACTGAGCTCCCGAGCTTTACCGCTGCAGCTCAGATCTGACTATACAGGTCTAGAGCTTTTTTCTGGCTGTAAAGTTTAACATCCAAGTACAATATCTTGGTTTATCAGGGTTATTAGTGTTACATCGTTAAGATGTGGAAGCAAGAATGTTTTTATAAAAACTGACAAACTGGCCCACAGTTTTAATTTGTGTGCTCAAAATAGCTTACAACGAGGGAATATGTTTTGGAACTGGAAGAATAGAACAGAAAGAGGTGAGAAATAAACAACATATTTGATGTATTATGTTGTTTACATTAGGTTAAGGTCAGTCTCATCTTCAGCACAGCCCTCTTTGGATTTGTTCTCCAATTAACTGAGCATGTCTCTCGGAGGGGGGGCAGCGACAGGAAGACTGAGCAGCCAGTAATTAGTCTTCTCTCTCCCCAGGACATGACACATGGGGCCGTCAGGGAGACGAATAAAAGCAGAAGCCACATCCTTCCTCCCAGAGGGGGCAGGTGCAGTCATCATGCCGGCTGTCGAGCATGAGAACGTCGAGCTGTGCATCCCATTGCTGCTGCTTGGCAGTTTGTAGAGGACGTGTTGCTTTTACTGTTAATTTGGGAAAACTTTGGCGAATGTGGAAAAGCAGAAATGTGTACATTTCAGCACCCTCCACGATGACAGTCCTCGCTGCTTAAGACGCGTAAACGTTTTTAAAATGAAGTGTTGTTGTTCTGCATTAACATATTCTAATGCTGGAAACATAAAAAAGAAATCCGTTGTTTAATTTATTCTGAAGTGAAGAGAAAATCGAACATTCATTTTTAAAGTAACCTTGTGTGTTTTTATAGGAGAATCGAACTGCGCAAAACTCTCAAATATACGGGTAAACAAATAAAACTCAGAGACGAGTCCTTTACTGCCAGCCACGACGGGTCGGGAGATTTATTAACACGTCTATCACGGATGCATCAATACAAAAACATCGTTTCAAAGTCTTTCCCCAAATCCCCCAAAATCTCCCCGTTCTTTGTCAACAGGCAGTTTTGACCAATCCAGATAACTATGTTGGTTTGCTTGGCTGCCCATTGACTGAGTGTGTTTGGAGTTTCTCTGGAACACTAATGACCTCTTGACCTAAACACTGCTCCACATCAGAACTGCCGAATAAGCCAATTCATCACAATTGTTCCTCTTATCTATCTAAACAGCTTACTTCCCATCCCGTGTTTTGGTCCAGCTTTGTACTTTACAAGCAAGGAAGTTAGGTCAGATCGACCTTACTGGTGTCAACAATCTTTCTGCAAAAACAACTCCTTAAAAAGTATTTCAGCACTAACATTTTTCAGCCACGTAGTGCTACTTCATAGCACAAATAAATAACTATGCTTCCTTCAGATGTTATAAAAAGGCTGCATATATCAGATATGACTTAAAAGATTTAAGAGTTGATAATACCGTGCACTCGAACAAGGTTCCCTGTAAACTTAGGAAGAAAACAGCTTCAGGTGTTGTAATTTTATTGGACTTGTAAGTGATGCCATTGAATACTTTTGCTTGAATGAAGGTTGATTCTTTCTAAACATTTTAATTTGAGAATTAAATCTCTCTCAAACAAATAGCTAGACAGACAGTGACTTATGCCTCTAGAGCGCATGAGCAACAGAAAAAAACCCTCACCTTATGCAATTAGCAAATTATTGAAGAAGTGACCATGCATCCTAAAAAGCATCTCGTTTGGACATCTGCAGCATCTCAAGGTTTAGTTTCATGCTTCAGGGGAGCGCTGCCAACCCTCACAGAAGCTGCAGTTAATAAAAGAATGTAAAGAAATTAAATGGCGACGCATTCTGCCGTGTTGCTCTGCAGTGTAACTACAACTGTCCTCTGGCGGTAATTGCAGCTGAAACCTTCTGTGATGGAAACAAGATTCCCCCTTAAACAAGGGATTAATTGTAGTCTGCCAGGCACTGTGGTTTTGCTGGCACCGTGCCGTACTACAGTGGCCAACACATTCTCTTGTACTTGTCTATGCACTCATCCCCCATCCTCCAAGTCTTAGCAAATGAAAGATCGCGTGATTGAACAAAGAGGGAATGTTTAAAAGCTAAAATAAATCTGTTACATAGATTATGAACCATCATTGTTGCCTTGTTTTTCTTATTTACATTTTGCATCATCTGCATGTATTTTTTAGCGTTTCTATGTTATGTACGCTTAAACAGATGTTCTGAACGTTTAACGAAAATATGCAAGAGTAAATGAAAGGTTAAAAGGAAGTATAGCCTCATGTGGACTCTTAAAAGTGCAGACTTTACATTTTCAGAGTACACGGGGTGCATTCAGTACCACAAAAGAGCCACATCTATTAATAGAAACAATTAATGAGAGTTAATTGTTCATTTAATGGGAAACCAGTGAAGAAACTTTAGAACAGCAGCAAAGTTACACTCAGTGGAAATATAAACCAAAAGACCAAAAGAGGTTAAATTGTAGCTACAATCTGCTTGCAAAATAAATTTTAAAATCTGTCTTTTGGACAGCCAGTATCTGAGATCAATGCAGCGCTGACAGATATGATCTTTATTTATTTTATTTTTTTTTTTGTCATTGTGCTTTAGAAGCAAAGTGTGAAACTGTGAACAGTTTTCAAAAGGCTTCCATCCATCCATCCATCCATCCATCCATCCATCCATCCATCCATCCATCCATCCATCCATCCATCCATCCATCCATCCATCCATCCATCCATCCATCCATCCATCCATCCATCCATCCATCCATCCATCCATCCATCCATCCATCCATCCATCCATCCATCCATTCATTCATCCATCCATCCATCCACTTTATAGAGAAAGGCCAAACATTGAGTAGAAACAAATGTGAAATTGGTCTGAGTCTGCATTAACCTTTATTCAACATGTTTAAAAAAACCCATTTGATTATTTCATTTTCTTCCACAACACAACAATTTATCGTCCTAAATAAATGATCTGTAATTTATATGTGATTTTATAGGTTGTTCTGGTTTGCACGTTTGTATTCAAACAGCTGCAGTTGATTTGCTCATTCATCTCTTTTCATTGTTTAGTGGAAGAAGCGCTGGTGGTCATAGATCCAAAAATATAGCAAAGACAAATCCCACGTGGCTCTGCGGAGATAAATAAAGCCAAACGAGATGCTGCTGCTGCTCTGTTGCCTGGTGAGCGTGAGCGCGCACGGCTGAGGGAGAAACAGCGAGGACAGAGAGAGAGAGAGAGAGAGCTGTCGTGAACGCGCCAGCCTATGTTGTTGGTTGGAGTGTTTGCGCGCGTGCGTGTGTGTGTGTGTGTGAGAGAGAGAGAGAAACAGAGAGAGAGAGAGAGAGAGAGAGAGAGAGAGAGCAGAAGCAGAGACTCTGCAGTGTCTTGGCAGCTGCAGCAGTGCATCTCCCTCCACCGTCCACGATGCCTCCACGGATGATCGCCGCCTCCTCCGCCTTCACCTGACCGCAGAAACCGATATGAAGTCGTCGGGAAACTGATCCGGACGTTCACACCTGCTCGCTGTCTGTATCCCACCCCTCCTCTCCCACCTCCTTCCCTTCCGACACTAGAGCTTCATCCACGCACCCAAAGCCATTTGGGGACAATTTTATTTCATTGTATTTTTTTATTTTTATTTTTTTATTTTCATGGAAAATGGCGATAGGAAAAAAATTTCGCAGCATCGTCTGCTTAGTATCAGTCCAAGTCCTCCTGATTTTCAGCGCATCGTGGCCTGGAGCAGAGGGTCTCACATTCCCACAGCAATACACGTAAGTGAACCTGACTGGGAAAGGCAGCGTCTCATATGAGACAACTTTGAGCTTCACCACTCCAGAGATGGAACTCTGTCACTCGTTTTCTGCTGTTGCATAATTGTATGGTGTGTTGGTGACTTCCACTCATGTACACGCAGTGCTCTGAAAGGTGTTGTCCACACTGTGGCTCAGCATACAGCAGAGATCTTTAGGCACCATTTGCAGGAACGTGTGAGCAACAAGATGCCAGACATGCAGACACATCATAAAGTCGGTTTATTAAGTTTGATCTAGTTTAGTTGAATCTTTCCCGTGATTTAGCTTCCTTATTACCATTTGATGAGAGTGAGAGACAGCTTTGATTATTGGCTGATCTGAAGCTCTTTTGGCATTTAGCCTCCTGCTGGAGTTTGAAATATTCCTGATAAATCCATTTTAGTTAAGTTTGGGAGATGTTGTGTTGATTGATTTAGATTCCGAGACAAAACGTGAACAATTTTGTGCAGCTGTGAAATGAAAAAAATAAACCTGGAAAGCATATTTTTCATTATATTGCTTGATCTAAAAGCTTTTCGATGCTCAAGAAAGATGTGTTTTTTCCTCCCCTCTTCTTGCTGAAACTGCTCCTGGAAGACAAGTCCCCTGTTTTCTTCCCTTTTTTTGTTTTTTTTGTTCTTCATTCCCAACCTTTAACCCTCTCAGGCTCAAATTACTTGCAAAGACTAGCTAAGTAGCACTGAGCTGTTGCAAATCTGCAACATCTGCCTGGAGAGGGTTAACTCGTCACTGTTGAGTACAGCTTGGGGCTCGCTTTGGACCGCAGTTCTCTGTCGGCCCTCCTCCAGCCTCAACAATCGGGCAGCTCTGGAGAGAGGAAATGAGCAGATGGTCAACTCATCTTCACGGTTCATGGCGAAGGATTTCTGGCCAATCACAACTGGAGATCCGAGGTGTATTTACCCATTAGAACAGGGGGCTGTAAATCCTGGGGTTGTTGGCCACTGACGGTGTGTGAGAGAGTTTTATGATGAATTAGGGTGTTGGAAATGTGTAGTCACGGCTTTCTCTTCCGCCTCCCCTTGCTTGTGATGGTTTTTATGCTGAGTGCTCTAAAACAGCTACATTGCCCTGCACCCAGGGTGTCTTCAAGTAAGCTAAATGAAGCAGAGCTGCCTCTCTGAAGATCCACTACTGAGTTTATCCCTGCAGACAGTCAGATTGATAGATAGATAGATAGATAGATAGATAGATAGATAGATAGATAGATAGATAGATAGATAGATAGATAGATAGATAGATAGATAGATAGATAGATAGATAGATAGATAGATAGATAGATAGATAGATAGATAGATAGATAGATAGATAGATAGATAGATAGATAGATAGATAGATAGATAGATAGATAGATAGATAGATAGATAGATAGATAGATAGATAGATAGATAGATAGATAGATAGATAGATAGATAGATAGATAGATAGATAGATAGATAGATAGATAGATAGATAGATAGATAGATAGATAGATAGATAGATAGATAGATAGATAGATAGATAGATAGATAGATAGATAGATAGATAGATAGATAGATAGATAGATAGATAGATAGATAGATAGATAGATAGATAGATAGATAGATAGATAGATAGATAGATAGATAGATAGATAGATAGATAGATAGATAGATAGATAGATAGATAGATAGATAGATAGATAGATAGATAGATAGATAGATAGATAGAGCAAGCTGTGATTTTATTTTTAGGGTTGTGCTATGGAAGGTGAACCTCTGCCCCAGTTTACAATATGCTGCTACTCCCAAGACTGCCTTGGAGAGCATCTGTCTTCCCAGTAGCTCTGACCAGATTCTGCTAGTCTAAGACCAGTGGACTTCGTCATTCACTCTTTCAGAAAGCCAGAGTTGCTGAGTGCAATACGAATAATTCTCCACAACTTTCTATTAAACCGGCTGCTGTGTTTCTTGGTCTTCATGATGCTGTTTGTTCATTAATGTTTTCTGATAAACCAGTAAGGAATTCAGTTTGCTACTGGGACTAAATAATGCAGAAGCCCTTGGCTTCTGAGGGGCAATAGTTTATTTGAGGGCATCAGTGGACACCACTTTCTTCATGTTTTTGTTTGCTAAAATGTTGGAAGCCATCTCTTCCTTCTTCTTAATTATGCACTTTGTGTCGGTCTATTACATAAATATTCAATCAAATACTTTTAGGTTGGCAGGTGTAACATAAAGTGTGAAAAAAAAGTTCAAGGCATATGAATATGTTTGAATTAATGTTGTTATAATTAGATTTAGAAATTGTTTATGTGTAACCTATTTTTCAATATTATATTTAATATTGTTAAATGCAAATGACAGACAACATACTCATTTGCATTAATCAAAAAAATCTAATTAAACTATACATAATAATGTATAAATTTGCTAAGCCTCTTTAGGAGTTGTTGTGACTCAGGTATTGAGTGGTTGTTCCAATAATTGCGAGGCAGGAGCTTTTAGTTGAAATCAGATGCTTTAATTAGAATAAATTAGTTGGAATACCAGGACTTAATACATTTTCTTAATCTGACGGAAATGTAACATCTAGTTCCTATGTCCCTCAAGCCTGAGGGAAGAGTCACAAAAAGTGACTGTTTTTTTTTTTTTTTTTTAAGAGTGGGACACTTCTAAAAAAGTCATTGCAGCAAACACTATGAACAACACAAACAAGATTCAAAACTCCTGTCTATTTTGTTCTGGAGTGGAGATAAGGATTCCCCATTTAATGATGATGACTGTGAGTTGTAGTGAGATTATGGTGCTGCTGAAAGACAGTCTGGAGAGATAGAAGTATGCTCTGAACAGAAGAGGTATGAGTCAATAGAATCAAGAAAAAGATATTTGTGTTTCAATTAGTGAAAGTGAAGATGAAGGATTTTAATTATTGAAAGCGGATGAGTTCAAGAAACTTGGGTTGGCCAGCTAAAACAAATGGCACTTCACAACAAAGGTGGAAGAGAAGAATTCAGACGGGCTAAAAGAATTAATAGATCCATGTCAGAGATCATTTATTAAAGAAAGATAGCAGCATTAATGGAAGAATAAGTCTACAAAATAATACTAATACTCACTATGACATATGACAAACCTGGAGTGAGGATGCACCAATCTACTTTTGTCACTTTTGATACTAATACAGATAAGTAAGGTTTAGTATCGTCTGATATCGATCAAATACAGAGAAACAGTGCAGTGAAGCAAAAATGCACAGAATGAAAAACAGAGACATTTTATAAAAGAATAGGTTACTGCAAGAGTCAGAAAAGAGGAAGACCATCTGCAGGGGTTGGTTTGCATTAGCATTACGCTCATCATATAACTCATAATAAGAATTTACCAAAATATTAGAAACCCAAATGCCAGACACAGTTAGAGGTAGGGCTACTTCTGTCATTTACAATATGAACTAAAATTATGTTACATTTACAAATGAACTTGTTTTAGATGCTGAGTTTTTACACATATCGCATGGCTGCCAAAAAACCCACTTGTGGGTTTTATGATGATACTTAAGTACAAAATGTGCGATGAAGGTGTGATATTCAGCACTGAAATGTTTGGAATTTTATGGATAACTTACATGAAGATTTTTTCATTAAATTAAGTAAGGTCTCTACTTTAGTTTTATCCCTTTTATGCTTTCAAGGTTTTAACTGTGCGGTTCATTCATGTATTATTCATGACCAGATCTCTAGTGCATTTTATTCCTAGAAAATAGGAAAAAAAGAGATTATTTTTATCTTTTGACCATATATCCTGCCTCGGTGATCTGTCTCTATTGCAAAAAGCTTTTTATTTTAAATGTTAAAAAGAAAGTACCACAGTATTTAAGTGTAGAATTGTGCTTTGTACAGTTTTACAATCATGTTCAGATGAAAAATACCAATGCACAAACTGGCATAAATAAAATATAGGTAACATTTTAACAGATAAAAACATTTACAGAAGGTAATTATTTTTTATACAAGTTAATTGGCTGCAAGATGCTGTTATAAGGCACAGACTGGAGAACTTTTATACAAGACTCAACACAGTGGGATGAATTCACAAAGGCAGAGACAAGTCTAAAAATACAAGTCACAATGATATGAGCACAGCATTAGGATTACGACAAAGAATTTGAGATGAAGATGAACCGCTTAGTGTGAGTTGGCAGATTGAGGAACAAATAGACAAACAAAGGAAGACAATGAGACACTGGTGGATGTCATTAGGTCATGGCACAGACTCATAACAGGTGGGAATTACAGGAGGTGAAGTTGTCTGGAACGAGACAGCCAAATATTGCCAAAATCAAACAGGAAGTTCCAAAAGGAAACTTTAAGGCTGCAGTGCACCCATTTTCTTATGGCTGTTTTACAAATCATTGCTTAGATCATCTTAAACTGGTTCCTTGAACATAATCAGCTAATTTTGCTCTCAGTCTGTTAGAGTACCTATGAGATGCAGTGGAGTGGGAGACTTCTACCCTGGACATGCAGCTGACAAATTATTCTCACACCTTTCAGTCTATGCCATCCAGAAATAATGCAGTTCTGAAGGGAAAATGAGGTCCAACCCAGTACTAACCTGCACAGTTAATAAATTAAATAGCATACATAATACAGTGGCTGATGAGGATATATGTTCACACTGTATGACTGCAAAACAACGTTGGTATGAAGTCTTGTGCTAACCTAAGTTCTCTATGTGACTCACATGTATTCTGTGATTCACATTTTGCATTTTGAGAGGCATATCAAAAGTGTAGCCCAGGGGCAATTGCAGTTTTAAAGTCTGGCTTCTTTCTTAAATGTATCATTTATGATCCATCATTGAACTGTTCATTTTTATGTAGCTCTCGTAGTTCAAAATATTGTCAGGAACCACTGTTGGCCCCTGGGCTTTTATGCATTTTAAATCAAGCCCTCACTCCATAATGTGAACACCTCTTTGCAGTGTGACATGGAGCAGACCTACAGTTATGCTCACATGTCTTTTAATGAGCGTCACAACTAAAAATAACTGCGTTATCTTAAAATATTTAAAAGCTGATCAGAGAGGTTTCACAGATGTCTGTATTTGGATGAGAAAACAGTCACTCATTTATTATTTATTATTTATTGAATGTTTTGATTTGATCAGCTAGTGTGGGCTGCACTTTCTTTGATCAACACTTAACAATTAAACCTCATTACGACTGGGATGCATTTTTTAAGTGCTGTCCATAAAATATTCAGAGTTTTGCTTCATACTGTGTTGTGAGGTGAAGGGAATGTTTTCTGCTGCAGATCTTTTTAGAGCATTTCTTGTTATTTTTCTCCTGCTGCCTCAATCGCCTCAAGCTGAAGATCATTTTACGTTTAAATCGTGCTCTGCAAAGACATTCAACTTCACAATGAGCATTGAGCGAGATAGAGTTAAAACAAAAATTCTCGCTTGAGTTTCACGTTGCTTTCCTATTTTTGTCCTTTTTATCAAAGAATGTAAAAAAAATGAACACTGTAAATAGAGCAAGTCTTTTCATGATCAAATCTGAACTTTGTATTGCAGTTCGGCTAGAATAGAAAATGAGAAGAGGGACGATTTGTAACATTCAAAAGGCTGTATCTTTCTGTGGAGAAGATTTGTGCCTCGTCTGACAGTAGGAACAAGCCCAGCAAGGCATTAATCCGTTATGTTGTCTTGTAACTCTGCTCCAAGCTGTCTGACTGATAATGAATCCACTCTCTGGGCACTTAAAGCAGCCAGCGTGATTCTCTGGCCATGCAGCTGGGCTTCCTGACTGAACTATCAAGTAAAAAGCTCAGTTAGGAAATAAAGGTCAAAACTGTGGAAGAGACCAACACTAGAAGGAGTTCTTCACCTGTACTGATGCAGGATCCAACATTCTCCATAATTGTCTTTAGTTGAGGACAGAATGACATAATCTGTCTTTTAAAATGTCTGCTAATGTTCTTGGCTCACAGCTCAAGATGATGTTAAATATAAAAGACGTGATTTCTTACACTGCAGGATTGTTCTGATGTGATGTGTAAAATGTGTGGGTTGCATTGAAATTGCAGATCACTGTAAGAAGTGCTTATGCTCCTGCCTTGTATATTAAGACAGCACAAATGAGCTGTGTGTATAAACTAAACGAGAAAGAATTTACTAAGTATTCTATGACTTTTATGTGTTACGTATTTACAGATCCATCTTTGAAAAGTTTGAAATGGAATGTCTTTCATACCCTTACCCAAATCTTCGCCACCTTTTGCTGCAGCTGCAGTTGCAAATATTTTGATTCTTGTCTTTTAAAGCTTTGCTCTCAGAGAGTGACGTTTTTTCTTGGTCCGTTTGCAATCTTTCCACAGATATTTAGTAGGCTTTAGATCTTGACTTTGACTAGGCCATTCTAACACACAAATACGTTTTGTTCTATGCCGTTCCGTGGTGACTCTAGCTATACACTCTTTCATATACCAGTTGAGCTTACATTGCTTACAGTTTGTCCAAAATACAATGGCGGTCTATAAACAAACATCATAATATATACATAATATATGTACTGTTTTATAATATATATACTGGCTTCCTGTTATATACCAAATTAAAGACATGCTTGTTCTTAGAGGCTTGTAATATATTATTATTTATTTACTTTTTAGAAAATTTAAATTTCTTTTATCATTTTGTTTTCTGAGAACCGTTTCAGTGCTATGATTTTTACTGGTCTCATTTGGATATTTTAAAGCACTTTATAAATCAATAAATTATTGACGATGCTTAGTGTTGTTGCAAATGGACTGAATTTAGACAGTGCATTTGTAGTCCTACTTACTAATTAAAGCACTAGAGCCACATTTACCCAATCATAATTGCTAACTCACACACACACACACATTTATACAGCAGACAACTTGGCATTATGGACACATAAACATGCTACAGAGGAGTCAAGCAGCATTTCAATGACAAGACGTCTGCTCTTCCTATCGAGCCACAGTCGTCCCCGTTGCAAGCTCAACATTTGTGTTACTTTTGTCCGTAGAAAAATAAATTGGCCTTCCACAACTATAGATTACCAAAATAGCGCTCTTGGAATGGATGTCACATTGCCAGGGTGAGTCACAGGTTGGGCTTTACTTTTTCTGATAGGTTGGCAGACTATATGTATGGTGCTGCCAGTATTTTCAGACCTCTGCAGTGCCATGTGGCATTTAATGAGAAATATTTTCCATCTGGACGCCATAACTGCGTAGGTGTTTCAGTGTATGTTGTCCTTGTGAGATGTTCATGAGTCTCTGCAAGACCCTATTGCAACCAATCACTGGTTGGTTACTTGAGTCAGTGGAGCTTTTTTCAACGTGGGTTTGTATCATGTATTGACGAGTAGCCAATTTATGAGTAAACAACTCAAACCTCAACAATTTCAGAGTATATTTTGCATGCAAACATTCACAAGGTTTATGCTTGCTTTACTACTCTGAGAAACCATACATGCAAACTCCTCAAACTCATGACTTCCTGTAATTTTTTACACCAATGAATTTTTGTTTTGGATCAAACATTCTTAATATCAAAGATACTTCGAGTAAATAAGTCAGTTTTTAAATTATTTCATTCATCAGGGCAAAATAAACCATCATGACTTTATGTGAAAACTGTGGGTTTTGCTGCCCTTCGGAGGAGCAAGTGTCATCAACCATAACTGGTTGTGTAGCAGTGAATCTGGTACATTGGTGTAGAGAGGATGGAATAAGGTCATGCCACAGTATTTCAGTCAGACAGAATTTTTAATTTGCTTAAAACCAAAACTTTCATTTTTGTTTTCAGAGGTGAACTTGATGAGCTGTAATTTATGATCACATAAATTACAGCAAGTTGTTCTGGTCTTGAACAGCAACGCAACCTCAGAGCACCTCACTACTACCGTCATGTGTGTCAGGATGCACACCTCCCACAAATTTCTACTTTTGCCCGATAAGTTCATATTTTCCTGAAAAGTCTTGGGAATTAAGATATTTTTGGTGAACTGCATTTTGGGGCTGGACCTCTGTGCTTTTTTTCTTTAGGTCAGGAAATACTTTTTTTAAATATTCGTACATATAAATCAGCTAACCCTATTTAGTGGGGTTTCACAGAATAAAGTTATAAAAAATTCCTTTAAGTTTCTGCTGTTTTCTGACTTGTAATATGGCTTATAAATCAATAATTCATTATGCTCTCATTAATATTAATTGCTTGTTAATTGTTTCATCAGCAGCAGCTTTATTTATAAAGCACGTTAACATAAACCACATCTGAAAAGGTTCTCAACATCAGATATACATTAGCTTAAAGAAAACGTATGACACAATGACAAAGCAGCAGATTTATGTGTTGCAGCTGCATATTTTTAGTCAATATACCTAAATTGAGACTGAAATGGGTTAAGGCATTAAAATCTGCTTCCCTGAAGGCATTTGTATAATTTAAATTTGGGTAAATGAAGCACATTTTAAAAAATGTGCCTGTACATCAGTTGTCATGTATAACTGCTTATTCTGATCCATCTCTCGTCATTCCTGGGAGCCACCAACACACCAACACACGTCTCCAGTTAATCAGATTTTCTGCAGTGTGAAAGTCAGCGTCTGATGTTTTCCCACAGGATAATCCACTGGGCCAGGCGGATCCAGCAGGAGATTGACAGAGCCTTTCAGCACATCACTGGAGTTCAGCAGCTGAAAGGGGTGAGTGTGTGTGGTTTGGATTCTTACTCATTACTGAGCAGCATAAATTCAGCACAACCATGAATCCATTAAGCTCCAGAGCTGCATCTAAATAGCTGCATTAAATACAAAAAAACAATTACATTCCTACTTATTTATTTATTGTTTTTGTGAGTGTATTTCTAGCCCATCCTACAGAGCCACAAATGGCCAGTTGCAACAACTTTCTTTTAAATCTGTGGTCGTCTTAACATTTCTCGTCGACCGCTTGAATATTTTAGCTGTCTTCAGATTAAAAGCTTAATTTTTTTTCAGGTGGTACAGCCAAATCATGCTGACTTTGTGTTTATTGTTTTCAGTAATTGCCAGTCTTGCACACATTTATGCAATGCTGGACACACGCCTACAGTGGTTAGATTCAGAATATTTGACACTATTCTTCATGATGTTTTGAGCTTATTAACTCCTACAGTCAAGCTTAGCAATTCAGACATTTTTCTTCTGCAAGCCCCTATCAGAAAGATCTGCTCTTTAACATCTGCATGTGATGCATGTTGACATTGCATTATAGTAACCTGATTCCTAAACTTTCTTATCCTCTAAATTGATTTTCATGTCACCTTTTAATGGAGTTAACTATGAGTTTAATGGGGTTTACTGGAAACTAGACAACTTTAGTAGCTCATAAAATGACAAACCAGAATATGATTGTTATGGATCTTTCCAGTTTTCTTGGGAAATTGGTGACTTTTTGCTTCAAGACTAGTTAAAAAACTCCCCTCTCCATTGAAGAATTAAAAAAAAGACAAAGTAGGGGTTAAAACATTCAAATGCTTTAATTTAAAACCACCACAACATCACATAGATCCCGGATGATACTGCAGGACCTTTGAGAGTTTGCCATGTAACATCATTTTGTGTGCAGTGATAGTTTCACCACTGATTTTAGCTTGCATACAACTCCTGTGATAATATTGTGGTGGTTCAATAAGATGGGAGCATATTTGGAAATGCATGACAGTAGTTTAGTCATCACAGAATAATGTGATATAAATATATATATATATATACTATACTATATATAGTAGTTGCCCCATTGCCAGATTTACAGACTCTTCATGCTCACACTGGGATGGCAACACTCAGTCGCCAAATTAACTGTAATGTTTTTGGCACTTCCACTTCTCGGAACACCAAGTCCTACCACTACTCTGGCTGCAAAAGTCTCTTCAAGCAGCTGAAGCAAACAATAGATTCTCTCATACAAAGGAAGCAAATATGCCATATGCATGTCTCTTGAATATAGGGATCTTTGCATCAGTATCTGTAGCGAGTGGGATAAGAAGTAATAAGCATTGTAACATTTTATGGTTATAGAAGGACTCATAAAGCTATGGTCAACTTGTTGTTGACCATAACTGATTTTTATATGTTTAAGAAACATTGCATCCTATAAATTATAAGCTTTCAAAGTGTAGTCTGAATTTTATCTCAATATTGAGCTAATCTTTGGAGGAATAATAACACATCTGTCCTCTAATCACTGTTTTCTCTCCAAAGAATAAGAAAATGACACAAATCCTGTCTATTTTTATAATTCAAGCATTATTTAAAATTATAGCTGGGAAAATGTTCCAAGCTGTGCTAGAAATACATTTCCTATTTTTAAATTTTTTTTTACTATAAACTATGAAACTGCAGCCGAAGTCCCAGCTGGTGCTTACTCGGTTATTTAACATTTGCTTTATTTCACCTGATGGCGATGGTGGGGGTAGTTAAGGGGAAATGCCAACAAACAGAATCAGAGATCATGTGCAGGAGGCCAGAGAGCCGAGCTCTGGAGAGACGTGTGGGGGCGTTGCCTCAGCGGAGAGCATCGCCACGAGTCCTTTCTGTTTGTGTCACTGCAGAGCAGATGGTCAGCCTGCAGTAAGGCCTTGATGTGACACTCGCTTCTTCATTAAGTCCTCATTAATCTCTGCTTGCATCTGAAATACGCTGAATAAGAAAATCCTTATTCTGGTTTTAGAAGTGCTTCCAATAAAACACACACACACAGACACACACACACACAGACACACACACACACACACACATGGAACACCAGGAATAAAACATTGAATCCTGTGTTTGAGCCACCCACTATGTATATTCATATACAATATATGTAGCTGCCAATCTACATTGGCAAAGTAGCTAGTAAATCATTAAAAACATGCAATCAGATTGTATTTAATACAAGTGTCCTTTATAATCTAAAAATTTGAGTGAGAAAATTATCATCGTGAAATACACTATGCTATGTAGTACTAACCATGCTAATCCTTTTTTAGCCACTGGCTAATGTCACTATGCTAAATTCCTACATCCTACAAGATTAGTGGCTTACTGAGGTAACTTCATGTATAGTTTGGGATTTTCATGATCAAAAAGCCGGTTGATGATTTACGTAGGTCTGTCACCATAGAATCAATCAATCAATCAATCAAATTTTATTTGTATAGCACATTTCAGCAAGGCATTTCAAAGTGCTTTACATCATAAACACAAGAACACAAAGTCATGCAACATATAATAGACAATACATTGTTACATATTACATTTCAAAAACAATTTTAAACTGATTCTGGAGACATAACTGGCTCTGTGGCAGGGATTGTTTTCTCAATCATGCGTTTCTGTTAGAAGCTTGTGGATCAGAAACTACTGTGAAATATTTGATTTAGACTACAAGATTTACAAGTTATTTATCCAGCAGCAGAGATGCAGAGAGAATCACAAAGCAAATGGCCTCATACAGCAAATGTTTACATCCACCTTGATATTATAATAGCTGTTTGCAATCACAAGCCAACCATTACATGTTTAGTATTATGTTTTACAGTATATATTACAGTAGATATGTTGAGATATAGATATGTTTTAGGGAGTGTAACTTATTTGCCTCTATTCAGTAAGTGAGGTGTATAATCTATGTTGTGTGGTTTTGCACACTTGAGGCCTGTTTTGTTGATATTTATATCGAGAGTACACTTTTATGCAAATATATATTTTTTGTGTACTTCGGTGTAGAAATGATGGCAACATTTGGTTGCCGACTGTTGCAGCATCCTCTTTGCAAGGTCTCATGAAATACTCAAAGCAAAAATTTCAAACTGCTGAGAAATTAGTGTATGTTAAAATCAGAATTTTGACATACACTTTAAACATTTTTCTGATTCCATGAGTATGCCAGGAATTTATTCTTCTGCAACCATAATTTTCTATCATATTATGTCGAGAATCTGTTATGGAACTGCAGATATCTCTTGATAACATTATCATAGGTTTTCTTTCTGTCACATTCGTCCTCGGCCTCGCTCATTAATGTATTTCCCACAGAATCAAGTTCTCCACAGGTGTCACAAAGTTCACAGAGACTTCCTGTTCATTACTGCATGTTCTCATCTTTGTTTCATGGGCCAGTGAAGCATCTGGTCAGCACAGAAACCGCATTGGGAATTCAGTCATTGTAAAAAACAAAAAACAAAAAAAACTTTCACAATCTGTGGGAATTCCATCCATGTGCTCCTCTCGTCCCACTCTTCTTTCTGCATGACACGTTGTCATCTTCCCTCTGACAGTTTTCCTCGTGAGGTTGAGAGACTGATGACCTCAAACCAACAACCTATTCAGGGAGATGCTGGAAATATCCTGTCATTTTTACAAATATGTCACAAGCTCCCTGTTACTGCAAACTCTGTGTGAATATTTATTTAGGATACAGTCAAATATTCAGGACAAAGAGTAGCTCTTTGATAGGGGTTTTTAAAGAACATTGTTACTACTGTTTTTTTACTGTTGGTAAAATTATTAATCCTGATGGCAACAAAAGAGAACCAGCATAATACATTCATGATGTATAACTTCACCTAAAAATCTATGCATCAGGAATTATTACTGATTAAAAGTATATTGCAAATATACTTTGAAATTGAGATAATTCCAAAACCTCTCACATGTGTTCATTGGTTCCTGCAGTTATTCAATTATTAAAAGAAACTCGATTTGGAGTTTAATGGATGGAGTTTAATTTAAAACAAAGTTTGTTGAAATATTTTTTCACTCAAATCTTTTTCACAACATAACACAAATGGTATGTAAAAAGTGCTTAAAAAAGTAAATATTCATAAATAAAATTTGAACTGAACAACAAAGCTGTTTCTCCATGTGCTCTGCACTCTGTCATAAAAAGAGCTTTGCTTCTGCAAATGAATGAGAAATGCAACTTAGGCTGCTGTCAAAATTATTCTCACTTTGGTGTTTGGATAAATGTCTATATAGGTCAGCCCTCTCGCTCAGCAAAACGCATGCACAGCGCATAATGCTTTCGCAAGGCGCTACCACACTGTCACCATATAATTACTGCATTCAAAACAATCTAAGCTAAGGTTTGTGATAAAATATAAGCTCATGGTCCTTAAGAAAAAGATACAGAATATTGCACCATTGTAAACTAGCTTTAAAAAGGGACTACGGTTTGTTATAAAGGTGCATGTATTGATGTTGGCCTTTGCACTTTTTTCCCTTCAAACACTTTCAACTGTATGTAGAAAAACAGTGCTGCCTCCTTTTTTACCATACAGATTCATCAAAAGAAAATCCTGCAACTTGTGGAAGGACTCGTCTTGCTAGAGGACACCTGGTACTTTCATTGTTTAGATGATGAGATGTCTGCTATGGTGCGGCTTTATTTTGTTTGTTATGACCAACTAAAGCTGCGGTCTCAGACAAGGTACTGGTTGTGAGTGTAAAACTGCATGTTTGGTCAGCCAGCTTATTGCTTAGCTGTTCAAAGCTTTCTTTTCTGCACCTCTTTGGATTTCGAAGAGGAGAAGGAACATCCTCACATCAGATCCTGTGACTGAAAAGGTTAAGGCCAAGTTGTTTATAAAGAGGCTACTCATCAGTATTAGCAATCTGAGACTGAATTAGCGTGCTGAAAATTGCCTCATAAAGATCTACACACATTAAGCTGAAACATCTGCTCAGCTGACTTGGTTTTATCACAAATATGTATTTCTGTTTAGTCATATTGCATAATATTGATTTTAAATAAAATTATGAACAAAAAGTTACAATATCAAACACTATTTAATTCAAAAGCCAAAGGGAAGTTATGGGGGTTTGAAAACATCTTAAAAATGTTGAGATAATAAGCAGCTCTTACATGTATATGTAAAATATTCTGCAAAAACCCGGTGGACAATGTTTGACACGACCACCTCTGCATGAGCAGCCGTCAGGTTTGCCCAGAAGCTGTCATCCAGTATGAAAAGATGAACTGCAAAAGTCAATGAAAATTAAGGTTAGTGCTACAAATATTGATGCTTGATATATTTCTCACCTTTATTTAATTATGTAACTCTAGTCTTCCATAGAAGCGTCAGAGAGAAAGATCTAATGACACAGAAGCATTTATGTCAATTTTCTTTTGTTTCCCGCATCTGTTTTTTGGTGCTTTAATACTTAATGTTGTTTTTGGTCATCCATTAAGTCTTTCATACATCAAAAAGTCCAAGTTTACCAGTGTTGTGGGAAAATTCTTGCACACTCCCTTCCTCCCCTTTGGGGAAATAGAGCTCTTGTTTCGAAACCACTAATCAAATGCATTATAGACTAATCCATCGTGGAAAATAAAACCAGCGTTTGTTTCTGTTGCTCAGAAAATACAAATGGGAAATAAGAATTTTCAAAAATAACTTCATGAATTCTGCAGGGGGTTATGAAAAATCTGTTGTCTAAAAAAAATACACTACTTTTGCAGAAATGCACGCCACAGAATAACTCTGACTGGCTGCTGTTGGGTTTGATATTATCATCTGCAGATATACAATGAAGAAAGGCGACACTTCAAGCTGGCGAAGAATGAGCCGCGCAGGATTGTGGAAAAAGTGGCCTTGGATATAGAAAAACTCCTGGCAAAGAAACGTAAAGCCCTTGATGTAAGTAGACTGTATTGTTCAAACACATGGTTTATGTATTTGTTTTGTTTGTGGGTGGTATAATCTCATACAGGACTAAATTATGCAAGTTTGAACAGAAAAAAAAATCTTGTTTTTCTTTCTAATTCAGTTAATTTGTAGATTATTTTATTTTTTCTCAGACTATTTGTAACTAAAGTGGACTGCAAATCAATTCTCTAAAACAAGAGCACTAAATGAACATCAATGTGGTTTTTCATTTTAAGTTACACATGTTGTTTTACGTACGGCTGTGATGTGACGTTTTGTTGTCTGAAATGTTTAGCGTTTAGCGAATGAAGCAGAGCGGCTCCAACGGGAACATCTATGGCAGGATAGACTAAAGGTAAGAACAGAGTTACAGTTTATGCATTTAAGGTTCCTGAATATTGGTCTTTTTGTTGCATTTTCTGATTCTCCTCATCTGAAACATATTTTTACTCAATAAACAAGATTGTGAATTGAGCGTCCTCTTTAAGGTAGCTGGGCTTCTACTTAGAAATAGGACATAGAGCTGCTTACAGATGGATGAATGGATGGATCAACCAAACTATTCTAGTTTTTGAATTTATTGTTATCACATTAACATTGTATGTTGCAAGGAACTGATTGGACTGCAGTAAATGACAACTAATTATTACAAATTATTACAAGTAAGTGACAGCTAAGTGTTGTGCTCACTTTGCCTGTAGTTTTTTTGTGACAGGTCAATGCTGTCAAATGTTTTAAAAGGTGGAAAAGTCCTTAAGAAAATACAATTAAGTTATCAATAATATGACCAAACAGCTGAATTTGTCTTTCTAAGGGAGTAGCGTAGCAGCTTTCCTTCAGCTCGGTGGGCAGCAGCATTGAGGGGCAGCAGTCGGTATTTCCTACACTTTCTCTGGAATCTCATCAAAAGGATTTTAAATAGCAAAGTGCTATGAGATTTTTTTTTTGAGGGGCCAAAGGGGACAACTTTAAAATTTAATTGTTTGACACATTGACTTTTGTAAATGATCCACCTGAAAATCTGCAATTAGACTTTATGACTTGACTTTCTACTTTTATTACTAAAGAGCATACAATGAGAAAGAAGAGTACAATAACTTGTCAGTTTCTATAAATATACATGTATTTTTTTACCTAAGTGAATTTGCAGGCTTCAAGATTTGTTGTCACTGCACTTAAGAGAGAAATTTAAGCCGTAAATACAAACATATTTATAGCTGAAGGCAACAATTACTTCTCGGTTGAATTATCCAAATTATATGAAAGAAGGCTTTATAGATCATTAAGATTCAGTTTTCAAGTAACCTTGGGGTAGAAATAATGATGGAGTTATTGTAATGCATGAAGAGATCCACAGTAATATCTAAAAACCAGACTTATAATATGATATGTCTCTGGGGGGATTTTCGACACACTTGTTCATCTTGTTTTTGTCTTTGCTTGAAGATAGAAGACTGAGAGAGCTGCAGAGTTTGGGTTTGGACCAGACAGTTTGGTAATCAGAAAACTGCTAAAAATAGGAACACCTCTCAGTAGATGCTCTAGCATGTCGTGCATTTTCAGAATCTCAGACTAACAGATGGTGACGGTCCACACAGCCGGTCCACTGAATCATAACGTGACAGTTCTGAGCAAAAAACTGTTCTGGACAATAAGAGACATTTGGTAGTTACAGCTTTGCAAACAGAAATAATTATCTCTAATGCCGTCTTTTGTAATCCTACTAACACTGTTCATTTTGGTTTTCAACAATGAGAACATTGCAAATTCAAAGCTCAATTCTGGCCATTGAACAACTTTTTATTTGTACTTGTGAACATTCTTTGATTTGAGTCGTGAGAAGAACGGAGAAGGTTTGTGGATGGACGGACCGGTTCATGGTATCTTGTGGAAAATCAATAAATACGTTTGGTTTAGTAAGAAAAGGGTCAACTAAGATCAAGTAGATCGATAATTTAAGAAGGGATTTAAAGCCGGTGTTAGGTATTTGTTTGGACATATTTGTAAATAATTTACATAGCGATGTGAGTCTGATACTCATGGACGTGGGAATCTCTCCGCTGTATGTAACTATGCTGCTACAGTTACATATGGATATATATGTAATTGTATAACTCTATGTAACAATAGTTACATATAGTATTTCAAGAATCAAAGATGATGATCTTATGATCTTGTATTACATATAGTAGCAAAGAACCTCATCCAATCTGTGATTATCCCTTCACTAAGTTTCCTCAATCCACCTGAATGACACAAGATCAGAAAGGAAAGAGAGGAAAAGCTTTGGAAATATTATTTTCTTGTTCTTATTGTTTGAGTTTTATGTAAGTTAGCAGTCATTTTTAACCTTTTTTTTTTTCTGGTGAATCCAGACTCATTTGACAAGTGCATTCATGTGACTGCTCATCCTCATGGCGTTTCACGGCCTTCATCATCTCTCTCCATCTGCTTTCCTGCAGGAGCTTGACATGGCCTACTATGACTCCAAAGCTGATTTGGAATATGTAAGTGCTGGGTAAAGAAATTTAGTCAAACTGACATGGATTAAAGGGCTTTCCTTTTCTGTTATGTTCAAGCTTGCAGTTTACTATTAATTTGCTTCCATGTCTGAAGTTGAGAAATACGTTAAAAAGTTCAAGAGGGGGAAAAAAATGGAGCACAAGGCAGCTGAGAAAACAGCAAAAGCTGGTGAAGACGTCACATTCAAAACTCTGAACTTGGTGAACAGAAAAAAAAGTAATGATAACATGACATCAAGCTTAAATTTGGTGTCATAGAGTAAATATTTAGATTTTGATTTTAGTAGAAGGAAGTCTGGATCAGTATTCCTTGTTAACAGTAGATTGAAGACCTAACAAACCAGCACCATACCCAGGGATTTAAAACTGCTCTGTGGAGTGACAAATGATCACTTGTAACAAAAACTGCAATTCAAAATTTAAAGTCTGTCAGCTTTCCGCTAGCCGTTGCAATTTCTGCTCTGGTTCCAGCAACATTACCCTGTTGTGTACAGACACAAACACATTCCTCTTAAAAATGCATGTTACCAGAATGGTCTGCATTTTATTCCTGCAGGTTTACCTGCTCTCCAGTAACGTAGCTGAAAACACATTTGCCTTAGGAAACCATCGCATTTAAATGAAATGTTTTTCATTTAAAATCCCTGTTCAGGCTATAGGAACAATTGGTGGACTGAAGGGAAGTTACTAACTTGTAGCGACAGTCAAACGCTCTCCTTTCTTTTCCTAAGACACAGAAGAAAAAAGTCACAACTGAAACAAATTGTCATGCTTAAACACAAATTTTTGTTTGAGTGAGTTATTTATTGAAGTGGAATAGGACAAAGCTGTTCAAGAATGATGCCTTTTCTTATCTGATCTATTTTATGCTCACAATCGACATCCGACGTAACTCTTTGGTCTGCCTGTTGACTCCCTGCTCGAGTTTCCTCCCTGAACCATGGCATGAAGCGTTCCCTTGGGTTTGGGTTGTTCCTTCCCATATGTCCCAAATTCCAGTCGTTTCATTATCTTTGGCCATAGCACGTTTCCTGCATAGCTGATCTATACAGGAAACATGCGTCCTCACACCTTTTTTCTCAGCTGCAAAAAAGTGGCCACACATCCATTCTATATGTTTAAAATGGCCTTTTTTCAGGAAAAGGATCCATTCTGTTATTAGTGTGAGATATTTCCAGTCATAGATATTATAGATGCAAATGCTTAATTCATTTTTAAAAAACTGGATTTCAAAACCAGTGGTGCTTTGTTTTCAGGTTGTCTTGATCTAAAAACTTATTATTTAACCTACATTGTATTTTGAACTATCAAAGGAGAAGTTAGAAGTTATGACAAAGAAAAGATAACGTTTGTACTTCGGTTTTAACACTCTTGCTTTGACAGTACTCCGTGGATGGAGAGGCAGAGGTGGAAAACCCCTCCCAACTTAAGCTGGAGTTTGTGTACGATCCAAACTTCAAAAATAATGTCAACTTCTCGCACACCGCAGTTCAGATCCCGACAGATATTTACAAAGGAGGTGAGTGGTGCTCCCATTATGTCACTTTGAGACCAGGATCCTGCAAACTTGCTTCTCGTTTAATATTCTTGTGCGACATATTCACGGTAAAGATAATGTTACTGAGATTTTAAGAGGTTTAGCAAGTCTTTATTAATACAGACTTATAATTAATTTATTATGTTATCTTAAAGAGTTGCTTTAATTCAAACTCCACAAGCTAAATCAGAACTTTAACAAGCTTCTCTCAATTGTTGCTTGGTGCCTGGTTACTTGAACAAAAAAAGCAGCATCAAATTTTTGATTCATATTTTTTGTTCAAACATCAACAAAAAGACATCTGTGGAGTATTTTACGAGCAGGTTTTCTCTTCTGTCCTCAGCTCCAGACATCCTGAATGAGCTGAACTGGACGCAGGCGCTGGAGAGAGTGTTCATGGAGAACAGCAGGGAGGATCCGTCGCTGCTGTGGCAGGCGTTTGGGAGCGCGACAGGAGTCACTCGCTACTATCCAGGTGGAGCTTTAGCAGTTGTCTCTGCTGTCACTGTGAACTAACTCTTTTGAATTCGTCAACCACAAACTTATATAAAGACACTGAGTTATTTATGCATTGCAGCATCTCCGTGGAAAGCGCCTGACAAAATCGACCTGTACGATGTCCGGAGGAGGCCTTGGTACATTACGCTTCTTAAGACTCTCTGGATATGTTGATGTATTATAAATATAAAGTAAAGATAGATTTAGATTTTTTCTACGTCTTTCTTTGTCTCAGGTACATCCAGGGGGCTTCATCTCCAAAAGACATGGTCATCCTTGTTGATGTGTAAGTACACAGTCATGTTTTGGAGGGTTTTCTGGGAAATTGAAGAAGTGCATTATGTAGTGCTTCAGGGTGAGGTAACATCCAGATAATGTGAGTTTTAACGTAATCTAATGTTGAAATTTAAAAATTTGGGATTGGAAAACTGTTTTCTGGATTCTGGATTCATGATCAGATTAATTTTCCATTCCGGAGATTACTGTATATACGTCATTTCTGAATGTGGTTGCGTTTGTCTTGTTTAAGCATCATTTATAACCATCCAGCTGCAGATTTGAAGGGAGACAGTTCTCCATTTTCATTATTTAATCCACTTTGTGCAAAGCACCTGAACCACCGACAGCAAAACCGACTCAAACATGATACATTCACAGCTATGCTTCATTTATTAGGTGACTCCTACGATCACTTCTCTAGCCAACGTTTTAAAAAGATTCAAATTTTGCCTTGTATTAAATTCTAGGTTTTTGCATCATTATTCAAAATTAACTGTACTAATTCCATGTAATTACAAAGCTACCAAAATCTTTTTTTTTTTTTTTACCATATAATTTAAAGAAATTCTACAACAATAAGTTCAAAAGACTGAAATCTCATCTGGCACTGCTCGTGTTTATGTTGTCTTCTGTGTTTGATCAGGAGCGGCAGCGTCAGCGGACTCACGCTCAAACTTATCAAGGCGTCTGTCATGGAAATGCTGGACACTTTATCTGACGACGACTACGTCAACGTGGCCAGAGTTGGTATCTGCATGACTTCCTGCCTCTTGATTAGTCGCGAATCATTATTCCTCTTCACCTTTTATACGTTAAAGCAGACTGTCTCCTGCTGTGTTACAGTTCAATGAGAAGGCTGAGGCAGTGGTCCCTTGCTTCAAGCATCTCGTCCAGGCTAACGTGCGAAACAAAAAGATTTTCAAGGAGGCCGTGCAGCAAATGCAAGCTAAAGGCACCACTGACTACAAGTCTGGGTTTCATTTTGCCTTTAACCAGCTTCTTAATGTGAGTTACTCTGTACCTTGTCGTACCAGGATGAAAATGAGCTCCAAACGTACTATGTTTTGTCTCTGTATCAATCTGTCTTGCATATTTATTACTGTATTTTACAGAAGACAAATGTCCCGCGGGCGAACTGCAATAAAATAATTATGCTGTTTACTGACGGAGGGGAGGATAGGGCTCAGGATGTCTTCCTGCAATATAACTGGCCCAACAAAACAGTCAGTGTTGTCATGATATATTCCAAGCAATCGTCTGTGCATAAAATTGATGCATTTTATTGCTTGAATCCCATTTATTTTCTCTCTCCCTCCTCCACCAAGGTCCGCGTGTTTACCTTTTCCGTGGGTCAACATAACTACGACGTGACGCCATTGCAGTGGATTGCTTGTACTAATAAAGGCGAGCCGACATTTTGCTTTCACCATGTTTCACATCCATTTACTTTGCAAAACGCCACCATCAGAATTACTTATAATTCTATAATTACTATATATAATTACTTGTAATTCTTCTTGCACATTAATTATTTAATTAAATAAATTTTTAATTGATTTTATTTAATTAAAAAAATAATTAAAAAAGCGTAGAGGAGCTGTGGAGGCTTACAGTTTAGGTGAGACAGTTGTGATGGTGAAAATAGGCCGATTTATTGGAGGTAATTAGTGAACAATCCTTGAAGAAGCTGCAAAATTAGCAAAAATATGAGGGTTTATCTTTGAGCTGGAAAGCAAGACCCAAAACATACAGCCAGAGCTACAAATGAATGGTTTATAAGGAAACATACGGATGTATTAGAATGACCCAATCAAAATCCAGAGGACAGTTTAATTGAATCTGACATTTGTGAAGAAAAATGCTAAAAATAAATATCAGTTTCTACATGTACCAATCATGTTTTTAACTTCAAGGTACAGATATGAAATCCGTGGTTGATTTAGGAGCTATTTCCAAGCATCTTAATTGGAAAATTGGAAAAATAAAATCTAGATGACTGGATTTCATTTGATTGAACTGGATTGGACTGGATTAATACCAGTTCAGAGTTTTAATCTCATAATCTTTGTTCTTTGGGAGCTTTTATGGTTATGGTTTTTTGCCTAATCTGAATAAATACATTAACATTAATTGCTGTGTAATATTCCTCTCTGAGCTCCCTGTCTGCACGATTTAGGTGTCTGAGTTACAGTTTTAAGCAACATCTACTTAAAACTGTGCAAATCTGGAATATTTATAAGCCCCCAACGTGTTTCCTCTAATCTCACACATGCGGTCTCTTTTCTTTCTTTCTGTTTGTCTGTTTACCCCCCTCTGTGGCCTGCCAGGTTACTATTTTGAGATTCGTTCCATCTGTGCCATACGGATTAATACCCAGGTGGGTTTGCTTGGTTCCTCTGATGCAGCTGATCCCTCAATCATTGTTTTACTTCAAGCACCCATCCTCGTTTTGCAGCGTTCTTGGTCTGCGACTTTAGTTTGTATTTTTGTTTTGGGGCTGGCTGTGACATCGGCTCTGTCTGTGTTTCATCAGGAGTACCTGGATGTGCTGGGGCGCCCCATGGTTCTGGCAGGCGGCGAGGCCAAGCAGGTTCAGTGGACCAATGTGTATCAGGACGCTCTGGTGAGTTTCTGAGTCTGCTCAATCAAACACAGCAAATAAATCTTAAACACTGGAGAAAAAGTGAATTGTTTGACTATACATAAACTTCTTCGTTGAAGGGTCTCGGCCTGGTAGTGACGGGAACTTTGCCTGTGTTCAATCTCACTATGAATGGAAACTCACAGGTAGCAAAACTTTTATTTTCCCCACAATTTAGTTTGATTGTCACATATAGAAGTTTAGATATTTCACATTTCAGATTTTTATGTGTTTCCTTTATGATTTTTCCAGAATCAGTTGATACTAGGCGTCATGGGAGTGGATGTACATCTAGATGAGATAAAGCGACTGACACCACGCTATAACGTATGTACATCTTAATTTTTGTTTTTAACTTGCTACACAGAGCAACAAAGGAGTTTAACTCTGTTTTTTCCCCTCTGGAACAGCTTGGAGCCAACGGATACATATTTGCCATAGATCCAAATGGATATCTGCTCCTCCATCCTAATCTCCAGCCGAAGGTGACCTATATCTGAGCACTGAGAGGTCGCTATGTTTCGGGCTTTGGGGAAGACTTATGTGATTTCTGTTTGACTCGCCCAGCCTGTGAACCTCCCCGAACCCGTGACCTTGGACTTCCTGGATGCAGAAGTAGCGGACAGTAATAAGGAGGAGGCGAGTAGCACATAAATGCAAAATATTATGAGTTAGTTGGTCTCTCACCAGTCCTCTATTTGTACTGGTAACTAAAGAACAGCTCAAACAAACAAACAAAAACAAATGGACCTATTTTTATACTCAGATTCGACGACAGATGATTGATGGAAAACCAGGGGAAATGCAGATAAAAACTCTCATTAATTCTGTTGATGATGTAAGTAAATTGAAACAATATTTATATTTCCAGACTTCTTTGTTGCCTCAGTGCTGAAATATATTCCTCCTGCTACTTTTATTATGCTTCTGTTTTATATAAAACTCCCACTCTAATGCCATCCTTCTGTCCATCCCTCTGTTCTCCGTGCAACTATTTATTGATGAAAAAATTATACAAATCGACAACACAGAAAGTTTGAATCTCGACAAGTATGAAAAATGTGTAGACACTTTATGTCTACCTTTTTCTATAACTACATTTATCAGAGTTATCTACAGATTTCATTTAACTGTGTGCAAATACTGTCAAAGTAATAAATTGGTAATATATAAATATAATTTATGTAATCGAGATTTTCATGGTTTTAAAGATTCCATTATAGTACGGCCACCACTTGGTGTCACTGTATACCATATTACAGACAGTGCTCTGCAGTAGTCTTATGAAACAATGTAAAAGAGCCCACTTTTATATCTTACACGTAATTACTCATAATCTGCCTCTCTTAAGAAATTGCACCCCTGACGTCTAAGAATATTTAATTTATAGTCTGTCAAATCAGAACAACTTTTACTCAAACTGAATGACGGAGAAGTGGATGGATACAGAATAAACTTTGCACACATAACCAGTAAGAGGTTTATGCTGTCAATTCTGCAGAATAGAATACGGAGTAGTTCATTAGGTTTTACAGGTGAGACATGTAAACATCTAGACAAAGAAAGCATCAAAATCTGAACATGCAGCTCTGATTTTACCTCATTTAAAAAAAATAATTTAAACATTATTGGAGGATTTAGTACGGTACCTATTAATCGCTAAACACCAAAACTAAGAAATAATGCTAGGGATGCATTCAGTTTCAATATAATGAAGTTAAATTTGTTGTAATTTGTCATTAATCTGTGGCAGGGGTAAATTAGGTAATTGTAAGGTAAAATTATGGAAAAAAAAAAGATAGACATTCTGAAAATATTTTTCAAAACGTTTGCAACAATGACATCTGTACATTGACAAACACATCTGTATTATGGCAGCAATACATCGATGAGGCATACAGACGTTACACCTGGACTCCAATCAATGACACTGATTACAGGTAAACTCAAAAAAAGAAAACACATTTTTTTACATCATGTAGCTTTTCCTCTCCTGCCGTATTGCCTCAATAATTTCTCTATGTTGGGCTGCTGCCACCTGCAGTCTTGGTCTGGTATTACCTCCCTATAGTGAGAACTTCATCCAGGCAGACCTGAGCGATGTGATGGTGCAGCTCCAGTGTGAGTACAGGAAGGACTTTGTCTGTGTGACATAGCATCATGATAACCAGCAGAAGCGAGTTCTAAGAAGCGACTCTGTTTTGTGCTTTAGATATGCAGTCGTTGTTGCCGAGCTCCTTTGAGTCCTCTGGGCATGTTTTTCTGGCTCCCAGGTGACCATCCTTACTTTCTTTAATTCTATTTTACGAGAAAGAGTTAGTTTTATTCAGTCTTTTGTATTTGCAGAGAATACTGCAAGAATCTGCAGCTTTCTGATAACAACACACAGTTCCTGCAGAACTTCCTCTCTCTCATGCTGGATATCTCCCCAGAGTCTGATGAATGTGAGTTCACACCCACAAAGTTCATACATTAGAGTTCAGGACACACACCGATGGATAATCTGCCTCTTTTTCATTTTAAAGGTGAACAAGGTCTCATCCACAACCTTATCCTGGATTCCAGGATTATTGGTCAGCTTGCGTCTCGTGTTTGGAAGAAACAGGATCTGAACGCGTGAGTCAGCTACACAGTGAACAAAAAGGCAAACCCTACTCACAATCACCAAACAGACTAATGCTGACTGAATAATAATTACAGATATGGCTTCCTTGCTGTTTTTGGATCCACGCACGGAGGAATAACGCGAGTTTTTCCCAACATGTGCGTAAAATCAGCAACAGAGGCAGAAATGTTTGAAATGCACTCAGGCTTTTTTGCTTTAGATGCTTCGTCGTGTGTGTTTCTGGTCCTTAGAGCTGCTGAGTTGTGGGACGAGGATCCAGAACCGTTTAATTCGGATTACTACAGAAGAAGTCTGGATAATAAAGGCTACATGTTCAGACCTTCACTGAGACCCTGTGAGAAACACAGCAAAATGCAGGACATAAATCATATAAAATCATAACAGCTAAAGTGCAAATGCAGTAATTCTCATGTGTTTGTCATGAGCAGCAGATGATGACCCTTTTGGGGCTGAAAACGGCACCACAGGAATTCTGGTTAGCTCAGCTGTCGAGGTCGATTTAGGAGGAAAACTGCTCAAGCCTTCAGGTGAGAAATCACTTCGTTCTGATATTTAGGAAACCACTTTATCTACTGATTTAAACACTCACATATTTTTGCTTCCCCTGGTGTTTCCTTGGCTTGTTCTCCCGTCACACAGTGATTGGAGTGAAACTGGACATGGAGGCGTGGGTGGACAAGTTTAAAATCCTGGCCAGCAATGTTTCAGATAACCGACAGGGGTCACATAAGGTACACGACAGGCTTTCAGTCCTTAATCACAGTGTTAGAACAATCCAGCTTTCAGCCTGGTTATTTTATTTAGATCATTTTATTTTCTTTTTTCACTTCACCTTAATTTTTCTATGTAATCTTACTGGTGTGTGCTGTTTTAAATCTAAATGTCGTTCCTTTATAAGTGTTTTGTTCTCGTCCATTTCTGTTTTTTGAGTTTTATTTTTTTTAACAGAGTTTTTAATCAATGTATGAAATGTGCTCTGTATCCATCAATAAAGTTGTCCATAACTCTTTTGATTTTGTTTTTTCCTGAATAGTGTGGACCATCCAGAAGCTGTGAGATGGACTGTGAAGTAAACACAGATGTAAGAACTTTTCCTCTTTTCAGTTATGACACCAGAGCTCATTGAGTCATTGGTAAATATTCATCTACTGCTGATCAATTCATCATTTCATTTCGGTGTAGCACAATCTGCAGCTCTGGCTGTGTTTAATTTAGTTGGCAAAAGGATGGAGAAACAAGTGGTAGCATAGTTTGAATTTTAAATGCTATACAGTGATTTGAATTGTTTGTTGTTTTTTTTTTTCACATTTATACCTAAACCAATAATGTTCTATTTTTCTGTTCTTTTTGACACCTAATTGGGTTTGCTTTAATTTTTTATTTAAAGACATAAAAAAATTCCATATCAAACATTTACCTTATAATTCTGTCACCAATTTGGTGATTTATTAATAAGTATGTACACAATACCCTCCAAATGTATTGGCAACCCTGGTAAAGATTAGTGACAAAAAATCTAAGGAGAATATTTGACCATGAGTTTGTCACCTTTTGAAAGCACACAACTATAGAGGACCAGAACTACATTTACAATGTAATTACTTTTACTTTTAGGACCACGTAAGACTGGATAGTTTCTTTACTTTAATATATTTCATTATCATATAAACCTGCATTTGGTATTTACTCAGATTATCTTTGCCTGTAGTTGAAATCTTTGAAACATTTAAGTGTGACAAAAAAAGAGAGAAGCTGACAAATACTTTTTCACAGAGCTAGAGTCACCAAAGCTCATTGTGCTCTATATCAGACAGCAAGTGAAAAAAAAGAGCAAAACGGTGAGTTAAAGTATTTTTTAAGTGTCTTTAATGGAGGCAGAAAAGTCTTGATGCTGTTACAGTAAAAATCGAAGAAATGAAAACGTCTCAGCACAGTTCAGCTATCTGGTTCTACTGTTTGTTTTTTTGTTTTCTTTTGCAGGACTTGCAGTGCTATCTCATCGATGATGGCGGCTTCCTCGTCATGTCCAATCAGAGAGATCACTGGAAACAGGTAACTATTTGATGGAATAAATCTGACATTATGTTTAATCATTTTCTGCTGCTTAAAATGATGCAAAAACCTTAAACACAAAATATTTGAATCACGTTTTCACATTTGTCTTCAGATTGGTCGCTTCTTCGGTGATGTGGACCCGTTCCTGATGTATGCGCTCTACAACAACTCCATCTTCGCTCGTCGACAGTCCTTCCAGTACCAGTCTGCGTGCGAAATGGTCACCAGAAGCCACACTGGATCAGCGCCAAGAGGCATCTATGTGGTGAGTCCTGCAGGCAGGGGTTAAATGATGGAAGGCAGCTGCACTGTTGTCTTACTGTTCACTGTTTCTGCAGCCGTCCATAGGTGATGTCTTGAGCTTGGCATGGTGGACGTCCACACTGGCATGGTGAGAGGTTTGCAAATCAAATTACACTGGAAGTAGATTGTAAATCAGTCCAGATTGATTTACAGTCACACATTTACTATTTTACTGATGTTTATAGAATGAACATCATTTTTTAATGTGCTTCTGTTCTAGGTCTGTGATTCAGCAGCTTCTCCATGGGCTTGTTTACAGCAGCTGGTTCCACCAAGGTGACTCAATCTGAGTGAAATCCATGAACAAAACGATGTGACAAATGTAGCTTCAGTTTTTATTGGATTTCATTCATGATGTAGCCAATGCCGTAACCACACCTCGGTCTATTCATTTCCAGACGCAGGATGGTTAAGATAAAGCAAATCTCTTTTACTCGTACTGACCTTTGAAAGCGCTTCACAGTAGAACTACATTCAACCATTTAACACACACACACAAAAAAAACAAGCTGAAGTTGAACTCAAGATGTTGATTTCAATACTAGTACTCTCCACATTGAGCCACAGAGTCTTGAAATAGTGTTCAGGCATGTTCAGTGTTCAATGTTTAATGATTTAAATGCAAGAACAGAGCATCTGTTGATTTTGTCTTTCAGATGACATCTTTATCGATGCCTTTGAGACAAAACAAAGCAGCTGTGTGACCATCCAAAGCCAGTTCTACTTCACAAACACCACCAACTCCTATAACGTCCTGCAGGACTGTGGGAACTGCTCGCGGTCAGCGCTTTCTCCAGCATCAGCAAAATATGTTTGAGTGCACTTTCTATCTGTGCTCTTAGGCCAATTCTGTCAATACAGGTGGGCTAACTATCCATCAATGTCTCCCATAGGCTGTTCCACTCAAAGCGGATTGAAAACACCAATTTGCTCTTTGTGGTGGCTGAGACATTGCCCTGCAGCTCCTGTGAGATTGAGAAACTGTCACAGATCAAGAGGGAGTGTATCCTTTTTCTGCCCACTCAAACTTTCCATATCGTTTTCATCTCATCTAAAGGTGGAAATTTCAAATGTGTTTCCAGTTGGATTTCTTTAACTCAGTGCAAAAAGTTCAGGAGGAAAATCCATGTGAACTGCTGAGCAATGCGCGATATCGTAGAGGTCCAACTCCCTGCTTTGACTACAGTGCCTTAGTAAGTAGGAAGTGCTTTAAGTTCTCACCTTAGAATGGAACATTAAGCAGAAAAAAAAATATTATTTTGGTCTGAGAGGGAGATGGTATTGTTTCCTGCATGTACAAATTAGTCTTTTACATTATTAAATAAATTTTTGTCACAATAATTCTTATGGTACTTGAGAGGCCTAAAGTTCTTCAACCTTTTCTAAAATATTTTTTTAACAGTTGATAAAGCTTAAAAGTTTGCTAAATGTTTGCATGTTAAGGAACTGAATAGTAGCAAACATAAGACTGAATCGACTGCATCAGGACAGAAGATACAAGATGTTCTGCTGATCATTCTTTCCATGATTCTCCATGTGCAGATGTGCACAACAGCGTATAGCTAAAAAATTGTTCCACTCAGCAAAAGTGAGTTAACTCAAACCCAAAATGGAAATGCATGCTACCTAGTTTTAAAGTACTGTACTCATCCTTTTTTTTAACCGCATATGCATCAAAAACAGGATTTGCAAGCTTGCAAAAATCAGCTAAATTTTACTGTTTATTTTGCTTGTAAAATGAAGACACATTCAGAAGGATCTTCTTTTTATGTTGTTCTCTTTCTTTACTCAGGAAAACACGTCAGAGTGTGGTCGAGGGTCTTCATTGCAGGCCTCAATAGGGACACTTCTCTTCATTCAGCTCATTCTGCCTCTCTTTCATCTCTCACACATCCAAACACTCTGACATGTTCCACCTCCTCGGATTTAGGCTCGGATCAACGGAAGGTCAGATCAAACAGCAACTGTGATGAATTTTTCCTTTTTTTCTCTCTCTTTGCTGACGACTCAGTGTGTTTGGGAAGCCCTGGAACTGCCCCTGATATCTGTTTCCTGCCTTATTGCTCATACATTTCTTGGCTTTTTGAGGGCTTAAATACAAAATCCTGGGGGGGGGGGGGAATGCGTCGAATGCATGCAGCTTAACGTCATTGAGGACATTAGCATTTATTTCCGTTTTCCACATTTAACAATAAAAAAGGTCACAGAGGCAGTCAAGGTTTAAAGAGGAGAGAATAACAATGAATTATAAACCTGCGTGTTTTGATATGCTTTCAGTTAACTGAGATCACAAAAGGTGTCAGAAGCACATCATGGAAATGTACCATTATAGGGGAAGTTTCTGCATTCCAACTTTGTACTGTATTTTAAAAGCATTGCAGCATTTGTGTCTTACGGTTGTTTGTACAGAAACTGATCTGAGGCATTTATCATCCCTGAAGCCTGTAAGTGTAAATATAATAGTCAGGTGCTGAGTGAGCTTCATACAAAAATATGTTGTTTTCTTATATGTTGCTTGTGCTGTCCAAAAAGGACTCCTTTGGCATTTAGTCAGTTTCAATACAAAATCAGCTCTATAACTGATAGCATGCATGGAAAACAGTGTGTAAAGGTTTGAAATTTATTTGAGCAAAGAAAATCTGATTTAGAAACCTAATTTCATGCTGTGGAAGTTTGCTGAACTTTTACTGGTGAAAAGGTATTAAACATAAAAGTCTGCAAGCTGATTTTCTTTAAGAGAAAAACTAAACAGATACAATAATGTTCATTTTATCTTGAATGATTACTTAAAATAATTTCAGTATGAACAGGACCAAATATACATTACGTTCATCCATCTAACCACAGTTTAAACATTGTGCAAGACAGTGCACAAGACAATGATGGCCAGCCTGAAATCACACCAAAGATCAAGTTGGTTTGGCAAATTAGATTCCAGGATTTAAACCCAAGGTCATCCTGCTGTGAAACAACAGCACTAACAGATGCTTCACTGTGTGGGTGCCGATTAAATCTAGTTAAAGAATAAAATGGTAAAATGCCCTAAATGTATGCTTTAACTCCTGGAAATGGAGCTTAGGCGAAAATTCAACCTGGGAGACTCGATCCAGCTGACATTCATCTCGCAATCGCCACGTCCTACCTCAACCAATCAGGGCTGGAGCAATTCTCCGCTTCGAGCCTATCATTATCCAGGACCGTCTTCAAAAGCCAAGCTATCGGAGGGTCGACCCGCTCGTCGCTGCGCACAACCCACCTCCCTTCCCCTCTTCCCCACCTCCGTCCTGACGGATGTCATCCAGGATCCTTCCACATCCAGCTTCACCACCGGTTTTCGGCCCCAGGGAAGATTGTCCGAGCTCGGCCGAGCTGATTTCCCCCCCGCGGTGATCCACGACTCACAGTCTTCAGCCGGGCCCGAGCGCCAAAGAAATCTGTATCATTAAATCTTCTAACTGCTATTCTCTTCTCTGTGAGAGTCTCTCCAGATTGAAATGACTGTACCCATTAAAATAAGTGTTAAGGAAAGGATTATCTAATCAAAAAGGAGAGAAAATCAGCTGCGACTATGAACATATCTCTAAAATTTTAGGAAGCCTATGTGAATTTCAAGCTAATGAAGATGCAGCCCACTTTTCCACTTAATTATTATTCTAAGCTGTTACTACCACGGTTTTCACATCCATGGGTTTGAAACTAACTACGCACCATGTTTCCTTTGTGCCTGTTTATGTTTGCATGTTCAGTCCTTGTCTCACCTCAGCACAGGAAGCTCACTTACTGCAGCTGCAGCTGTTTTTACATGATGGTAGATCTGAGCCTTAACCTCACATTCACTGCAGTGTCTTTGACTCCAACTCTGAGGCTTGTTAAGACAGTTTGAGAAATGCTTTATGGGTCAAATATGACAGGACCCTTGACGACTTCCTTCTAGTCTCCGGGGCATGTTTTCATCTTGTATGTCTTTAAATTGAACTAGAGTTGACCACCCAAAGTTTGACAGTTGTAGCATGGGAAAAGCCAATATAAAGAAAAACATGACATATGTTACATGATACATATCAGTATCTCATTTTGTTTTGTCATAAGGTTAACAATAGTATTTATGGAAATGCTTTACAGCTGCTCAGTGGGTTTTGGATGTTGTCCAAGGAAGTAGAATCAAACAATGAGTGATTGGTTTAATAAACTATCAATGCATCAGCATCAATTACAACATTGATAGACATAATGATATTATCCCCACTCTCTGTGTTCATACAATGTTAGAATTGAATAATTCTGAATGTGTTTCACTTATAAAATTAATGACAGTGTGTGACCGACATGTTTTATGCATTTGAGACACCTTTTTGTAACTTGCATTGCCAAAATGTTGTCAACTTTGAATTTATGCACTTGTGTATGCTTCTGTACGGAGAATGTAGCTTATAGAGAGCTTTGGTGTTGTCAATATGATGTGCTTGTTGAAACCACATCCTGATTTTATTTGGCATGATTCACTGTGGCAGAACGTTTGTGTTTTATTATGTGTACCCTAAGAGAGACTTAAGTCAGGAGTCTGATTTTATTCTGAACTAAGTGTACACAAATACAAGCTTTTTGGTTTGTGCTTGGTCACAACATTTATACCTTACTATCCTCTAACCACCTCAGTACAAGGGGATATTACAATACTTCATATCTCACACAAACTCTATAATGCATCATCAGCCAATAAACCCAACATAATTGGGTAGTACTTAGGCAAAGGCTAGTAAACATGTGGGTTGGATTTTCTTTAATTAAACAAAAACAGTTTTAATAGTTATATCAAGTGCATGTCAGTTTGCACTTTTTGTTATTGCACAACATTTTAGATAAACTTTTTTTTGCTGATGAATCTAAAAAACATTTCCCAATGTGAAGAGGAAATATCACATATCAGAGATTAGAGTACACATGGTGAAATCCAGAATGAATCTTCTGCAGTGGTTTATGCTCTTTTGTCTTTTAAAATTGTTGGGGGGTTTTCTGGCTGCTGACTTACCTGGTGTGTATCTTAAAAAACTTTTCAAAAAAGTACTTGTAAAGCAATGTTTTTCTTTGTCAGCCTGGTGTTCAACCCTGCAGTGCCTTGCTGCACTCCCCATTTTGGATTACAGCATTGAGCTGTGGACATTCAGCGTGAAAGACACCATGAAGAATTGGAGCAGTCCAGCTTTTAAAGGTCCTAGGAATATTAAAAGATGCTCATTGTGGACATTTTTAAAAGGAGCACAGTTGTGAAAGAGCACAGCAAGCGGACGGTCTGCAGAAACCCCCTGAAATTCTTGGATGGACAGAACCTTGCTGTGGTTCTGCTTTGTCTCATTGATTTCTACACTGTGGTTCCATCTTAAATTAAAGAATAGACTCTAGATTTCTACTTAATTCCATCAACACGCACTCAGTTTGTATGTTAGGCACCTACTGGAGAGGTTTGCATATAAGTTAGGAGTGTCTGAATTAAATGAACAAATATCTATTTCAACAAAACAGACTGTTTTGCATCTCTTCTGGACCCGAGCATGACGAGAACTTGGAGAATAAAGATCTTCTATTGGTCTGCTTAAGGGAAAGTGAGTTTGAGGAACTTTGCAGCCTACAGCACAATGTTGACTGAGGCATTGATTTACCTTAAATGACCTGTATTTACTTGCATGATATTTTGGACACTTTACAGATATGTGTATATAGATACTGATGAGTATTTTACATTCATGTCTGCATACAGCTCTGCAAGTCTGAGGCTGTGCCCTTTTTAGATAAACTGCACGTGAAGAGGAGGCTGCAGATGAAACTGAAAGTTTGACTTCAGTGAAGCCTACAGGGACTGATGGTATATTGGGGATTTAGGTATTTTGCAGCAAGTGAAAGCACAGAGAAGTTTAAAGTTATGAGCAACATACTGCCCAATGAAAATCTCTTTTATGTAGAAAAAAAAAAGACTCAAATTCTGTTTGAAACACTGAATGTTAATTATGTGTATCTAAGTTGTGTATATGAAAATAAGACACTTTCGGACAACCATCAACTTGCTTTGTTAATGAGAAATAAAATGTCAGTATTGCTTTTTTTAAATTTATGCAATATTTTATGTTTCTTTATTTTGAACTTTCAAATAACAGATAGAAACTGAATGTACTTGAAGTTTCTGAGGGCGCAGGGAGTCTAAATTGATATATAGTAAATTACCCTGTGTGTTTACATCCTCAGAGTTTTTGGAAAACAAACAGTAAAATAGTTTTTGCTGTGACTTTGCTTTTCATTTTGCTGATGTCGTTGTTTACTCTGGAACGTGTCCTCTCTTTGTGCCAGTCTCCAACACCGCCTCATTTTGTACAGACAGTGTGACACAGTCAGCAGAATATAAAGGATGAATTTGTAAAAATTTTGTCAGTCTCATTAGAAATTTAAATGTTTATATCTTTGGTGATTAAATGCTGTTGATATTTTTCACTTCAGCCCCGAATGATTATTTATAAGACCTTCATTTTACTGTCATATATTATGCTGTTCGAAATCGATCAATTAATGTTTAATACTTTACATTTTACCCAACTACAAGTTAACTGAATACATAATCCATTTGTCTCTTTTTCAGCTTGCACTCATAGTGGCTTTTAAAGTCATAATAATTTCAAGCTATTTAAGATAAGTTTGAAGAGTTTTTAAACACAACATAGTGTTATATATATATATATACGTATGTTTCCACAATTATTTTGTTAAAAGTTCCTTATCAAGGAACTGCACCTCGACCACTCCCTTTTTGTATTTATTAATGAGATCAGACATTGCTCTTGCCAGATATTTGACCACTGTCTTAAGCTGGTTATTTTCTGCCACAGACTTGGTTTTAAGGAAAGTTAACAATTTCTCAGTGTAGCTGAAAGGTCAGGATTTTTCAACAACCTGTTAGCTTGCTTTCACCATTTCTAAAACAGTTTTAATTTTAAATTGGAAACACTGTCCTGAGGAAACATTTAGTATTTGAAGCTTTTCCTCTTCCTTTATCATTCTTTTCACTTTGTCTAATGCACCAGTATGACAAAATAGCCCCACAGCATGATGCTGCCACCACCATTCCTGACAATTAGCCTGCACTTCCAGGCTTGAAACCTCAATCTTAATTCCGACAAATCTCCTCCTTTTAATTTTGGCCAGAAAGGTCAGTCAGTTACATCTGAGCACATTTCTGTTCAATTTTAATGTCCTGAATTTCAAGTAAGGACTTACTGGGGTTGGCTGTCTCTCAGACCATGGCAATGCTGGATGCTAACCAATTAATATGAATTCAGAATTGGTCAAGAAAAGAGATATTTCAGATTCACTGTGGTTTATTTTAAAAACATCATAAAGTCTAGCAGGCATTTGTTTTATAATCAATCCACCTATGAAAAATAGTTCAAATGCATCACTGCAAGTCAAAGTATATTAGCAGTATATATGCAGTCATATCCATATAAACTAAATGTAAACTTTTGATTTGTTAATTATTTTACTTCAGTAACAAACATCAATTGAAAAGTCAGATATTAAAAAACAAACCAAAAAGCCAACAAAACACAATCTCATAAAAAATCATCAGATCCTCCCTGGATGCTGTATTGTTCAACAATTTAATGCCTTTGTAGTTAATAACTGTCACCATCAACAAGTTCTGTTTGATTAAATTAGCTGATTAAAAAAGTCCAAAAGAACCTCATGTGAAAACCTGTTCAACACTTGCATTTCTTGCTCGCTAATCCTGGGCTGTAGTTGTCACTTGAGCCTCACATCTCCTCCACATGTCATTCCTCCCCAGCTTAACATTGTACACATTTGTCTCCTGGCTCTAGAGAAGTCTTCCAGATAAAAATAGGGACTGTACAATACAATCATCCAACAGGCATAACTGTGAGCCCTCCTCTGGGATATTATGATCTCTTTGTGATGAAAAAAGACAAAGCTAATTTTAGTCATAGTAAAAAGAACATACATCCTAGTGCAGAGTTATGTGAATTGTTTTTGGTTTATGCTATCTATTTCAGATGCATTATTTTACCCCATCTTTGTGCAAGAGGTCTTCTGTATTGTTTTACAGCCTTGAGTTAAAATTTTAATGATAAAGAAAGAGCAAATTATGTGCATGTTAAACCTATACAACTCACAGAGTATGTGCATAATTCCTACTCAGGAAATGTACTTCAAGGTGTCTTAGTGGACGAACCTCAGGCAGATTTTACACTCAAGCCTTTAGGCTTATCAACAAGGACTCTTAATGCAGAGCATCTAGATTGTTTAATGGCTATTTTTGTCCTCGCCTATGGCAAAGAACTTGAAAAATATTCCAGGTCATGGGTTTTAGTTACACTAAAGTACTGTTTTCTTGTCTACGATAATTTATCATTGTAATATTTACAATAAAGTACTTATTATCTTTACTGACTGAGAGTCAAGGCAAAATGTATTTAATAACATTTCCTGTAGACTGCACTTAATAAGATGAAATTAATTTTCACTGTGCACAGTATGAACACGCAATAAGTGAAAACCTTCAACATCCTGGTTCTAAATTTGTTATTCACTCAATGAAAGAAAAAGATCTTCTTCAGATTTTATCCTATTGGTACATTCTATTGAGCAGCACTTCCTTTACTTTTGACAAAGAGACCATCAGCTCGTGAGGATTAAACTTTGAATTTACAGCAGATTATGCAGTTTATATTGTCAGAATGGGAATATGTTCTCACTGTCTTGATCTTGGGCATCAAGATGGATGAAAGACGATAGGCAACCAAGCTTTAAAGCTTTGAAATGGATGGGGTGTTTGGCTTCCAAGGCCATCTGTTGTAGTATTTGAATGACTTATACCTTCCATCCACCAGGCATTGTTGGCTTATGCATCAGTAGGGATAAGCCATAAGCCAATTTATTTAGCAATGATATCAGAGCATCAGTGTTTGGCAAAGCAAGTTGAATCTTATTGTCATTTTAATACATCATGCTGACTCCATCTAGCCACACAAACACTACATCCAACCTGAGAAAGACAACAGATGGCGAGTTCAGGAGAGATGAAGACTTCTTCCCTGGTAAAATATATATCTCTCTATTACTTTACCTGTCTATTGTCAAATTAAATTTACCTTTAAATATTTGTTTTTTAACATATGTAGTTAACATCAATTACCTTTTAAAGTATGTGTGTGAAACTGAAAGACAGAGTAAATTCATGTGCATTAAGTCCTTTAAAATGTTTATTTTTGACAAAGTTTTAAAAACTCAGATTAAAATTAAGAAGGGTCATAGTTGGATAAATAAATAAACGTTTAAGTTAATCCAAATGTTATGTGAATTTGATACAGAGTACATCAAGTCCAATACATGGAAGAAATATGACTGTAGTTGTAACTGCATTTGGGAGGCTCTCTATACTTAGAGGAAAATTAATATACCATGTTTAACTGTTTATGAGGGGGAAATGAAAGGATCTGTGATAATATTCACAAACTGCTGAATTCTCATGTGTGTTTGGTGAAAAGAAACTTTAATCATTACACATAACTCAGCAGACAGTGTCACAAATGTTGACTTATTTTCAGTAACGTGTTGGGAGGAGGCAGGCGTCTGGAAAACTTTCTCTAATCTGTATGTCAAAATTTGACAGTAAAAGACTGGAAAAATGTCTGGTCTGATGATTCTCAATTTCAGCTGCGACATTCAGATTGGTGGGGTTCAGAGTTTAGGTCAGCTGCTGCTGGTTTGGGGAAAATTTTCTTGGCACATGTTGAGCCCCTAAGTATCAGATAATCATTGTTTAAATGCCACAACCTATCTGAAAATGATTGCTGACCA